GTTGTTATTAATAAATTGCTTAGAGACCTGTGGCTGAGGTGTGCAGGAACGGAGCCCGAGCAGGGCCTGACATGAGGCAGTGTCCCCCCAGAAGTGCCCTGGGATGGTCCCTGACCACAGTGTGGGGACATTTGGGACACAGGTGTGACAGCACTGGGGACTTGCTGCCTTTCCAAGGTGCAGCAATTGGTTCTGCAGCAGGGCAGAGTTTGGGATGTGGCATTTGGAGCCCGGCAGCCCCTGGGCTCTCCTGGGAATGCAGCAGGTCCAAACTCTGCTCCAGCAGCACAAGTGAAGCAGGAGCTGGGGGAGTTGCTCTGAGATAAACTCAGCAGTGAGTGGAGAGAGATGGGGCTGGAAATGAACAATCCTGGCACCAGGAACACAGGGAGAGGAATAGCAGCCACAGCTCAGACTGGAATTGGCCATGGCTCCAGTGGGACCTTCACAATGAAACAACAGCCTGGGGACCCTGAGATGGGGCTGGAGACTCCCAGACACTTTAGGGAGGTTGATCATGAGCAAGTTTATAGCTTATGAGGAGTTTGTAAGGGAGCCAGGACTCAGATAATGGGGGATTTTAATTACTTAGATATTGATGGATATAATAAGTGTACAGCAAACCACAAAGGGAAACCTATGTCTGGAGGGGAGAGTGAGATTGATCTATGCACAGCATGTTAAATCACTTAAATCATTCAGAGCCTCTTCTGGCCCTGGCTCCAGGAGCAGAGCCAAGTATGATAAATAAGGCCAGAATTAGGAAGTGTCTAGAATCCAAATGTTTGTATTCCTGTTCGATTTCAAATATTCACGGGGACAAAAGCAGCAATGCACTTGGCTGAGCCTGCCTGGGGGCTGTGGGAATTCCTGCAGAGGGGCTGGCAGCCCAGCACCAGGAAAGGGCTGCCAGTGCCCATGGGCAGCTCAGGAACTTTTGCACAGATTTGTCTCAGTGGCTGGTGACCTGGGTGAGACCAGGCACAGCAAGGAGAGACCCAGGGCTAAAGTGACTGAGAATGCTGGAAAGTCTGAGCCAACAGTGTGGGTGGGATGACGAGCTGGGCATGGCCCAGGGAGCCTGGCAGGCAGGGCTGGCCACCTCCTGTGGGTTGGTCCCAGGGCTCCTGAGGCTCTGTGAGGTTTGGTGCAGCGAAGGTGTGCCCAGGTGAGGTTTCCTGCTGTCACCTTGGGCGTGCACCAGACTCCATCACACAGGTCTGAACATCAGATATCATGGGGAAAATCTCTGCTTAACAAAAGAAAGGAGTCAGGAGTCAGGTGGACACTCCAAAATGTGGCTGGAAGAGCTGTTGTGCTGCTGGGCAGCTCTGAGTGGCAGCTCCACAATGGGAACGTGTGCCTCAGTGCTGCAGGGACAGGGCCTGGCTCCAGAGATAAGGGAGATTTCTGTGTGGGTGGCGCCAGTCTGGGGCTGGAGCTGCTGCTCTGGATGTGGACAAGGGCTGTGACATCTCTCCTGTGTTTCCATCCACTCCCTGGCAGGCATCAGTCCCAGCTGACCCAGCAGATACTGCTGGGCTCAGGGAGTTGGTGCAAAATCCTGTTCTCAGTCCCGTGGATCCTGGGCAGGCTGCACATCCCAGCCTCACTGCGGAGATGGACCTTTGGGAGATGAGGTCTGGGGGCAGCATCTCTGAAAGAGGGAGGGGAGTCTGCTCTTTGCTGCTTTTCCCTTGCTGAAATAACATTAATTCTATTACAGAGCTGCAGAAATGGTCTTAACCCTGCCTGTTCCAGTGCGCAGGTTGTCGCAGTCAGGGTCTGACAGAGAGCAGCAGAGCCTGGACATTGCTGCTCAGGAGAGGTGATGGGTAGTTGTGGCTGGACTCACCTCACACATCCTGGGCTCCCCCAGAGCCTGCCAGAACAAACCCTTCAGGACAGAGTGGGGCTTCAGGCTGGCAGCCTGTGGCAGCACAGCTCCCACTGGCAGGATGCAGCGTGGATGCTCAAACACATGGTGCCATTTTTAGGCACAGGCATAAATTATTTAAATTCCATGTGCTTCCAGTCAGGAAGCACCTGAGACCTTAGATGTCTGTGTCTTGTGATCAACGTTAGACAGCAATGGTTTGAAAACAGAGAGAAATCAAAGCTCTCTTGGAGCAGCTGTCCCAGGCTGCCAGGAGAGCACACAGGAAAGGCCTGTGCTTTACTGGGGCTCACTGTGCTTTACTGGGGCTCACTGTGCTTTACTGGGGCTCACTCTCTGGCTACTTCAGAGGGGCAGGTCCTCACTGAATTCAGTTCTAAAGGAGCTGCAGCTGACTGAGTTGGCTGTGACAGCCTTTGGTAAGGTGAGCCCAGGCACGGGCAGGCTGGACAGTGGGGTTTGCTGCATGGGGAACACAGGCTGGACAGTGGGGTTTGCTGCATGGGGAACACAGGCTGGACAGTGGGGTTTGTGGCTGGAGAACACAGGCTGGACAGTGGGGTTTGTGGCTGGGGAACACAGCAGGCTGGACAGTGGGGTTTGTGGCTGGGGAACACAGGCTGGACAGTGGGGTTTGTGGCTGGAGAACACAGGCGGGACAGTGGGGTTTGTGGCTGGGGGACACAGCAGGCTGGACAGTGGGGTTTGTGGCTGGGGAACACAGGCTGGACAGTGGGGTTTGTGGCTGGGGAACACAGCAGGCTGGCTCCTCTGCAGTCTCTTAGGCACCTTCCTTGTTCACTGAGAGAAGGGGACTGTGCCCTCCAGTGCACGGAAACCCCCTGGCTCTCCAGAGCCTCTGACACTTCTCTGATTTTCCATCTCCCCTCTTCTGAGGTGACACAAATCCATCCTCCTTGCTCCTAAGGACCTGTTCCTGACCCCATGGCACGGGGCAGCATGTTCAGGAGTTTGCAGAAGGAAGAAAACCCACCTGCTGGGGGTCCTGTGGCCCTTCCTGGCAGCAGCATCGCTTCTGCCCAGCGGGGTTTGGGCATTTGCAGCACGTGTGGAGCCCCCGTGCCCCGCAGGGCCAGCCTGCCCCAGCTCCCTCCAGTCCTGACTGCGTGTCTCATTTAGATGCAGAGATTTTTCCCCTGGTCCAAGTTTGCTGTTTTCCTGAAATGGTCCGAAATGTAATAGACCAAGACAATCATCGGGATGAAATATTTCCTACATGAAATATGCAGCAGCTATTCAGAAATGAAGATCAAGTGGAAGGAGCAGTGCCAGGCAAAGATTTAAAGGTGCTGACACATTCCCATGGGTTGTTTACTGAAGTCATCTCTGAAGCCTCAGTTTTAGGGCTATATTAAAAAAAAGAGAGCACAAAATACAATTTAGCAAGAGTTTAATAATTCAAGCTACAGTGTACTGGGCTTGTTTTTGCTGTTATGGAAACAACATCTCATTTCAAAGGACCTTGACTCTCTTCTGATAGTAAGAAGGGGCCAGTGCTATTTTTGCACCAAGACACTGACTGGGTGTGAATCTTGCTTCTGCTGTCTGTGCCAGCAAAACCTGGGGAGGCAAAACAGAGCCATATGGCCTGATTTCCCTAAAGGTGCAAATTCCAAGGAATCCGAGTGCACTGACTTGCTAGAAAATGGCAACATGAGCACCTGGGGTTATAAAAAAACACTTTAGCACCGCTCCTGGCGCAAGGCTCTGCCCACTCAGCCCAGCTGGGTGGTGCAAGAGGAGCTGTTCCTGCAGCCTTGGGCCAGGCAGTGCCAGGCAGGAGCAGCACAGGGGCTGCTCATGGGTCTGTGTCAGAGGAGCCTCTGTACTGGGATGACCCTGGCTCCAGGCTGGGTGGCATTCTGCTGCCGGTACCTAGTGAGGATCAGGGCTTTGTCAGAAGTATTTTTCCCGTGCTGGCCCCTTGGGGAAGCCATGTGTCCCCATGTCCCTTACTACAACACTGTATTATCACTGAGACTTAAAGTGAAGCCCGTGTGACCACCAGTGTTGCAGCTTTGCCCCTATGAGCCTGAGTCCTTCATGAACCAGGAGGGGCAATGGAGTTGGCCATGGGGAGCAGCCCCTGTGCCTCGGTACAGCCTCTTCCCATGAACAGCAGCCTCCTGGACACCCTGCATGTATCCCACAGCTTGGCTCTCTTTCATCCACACTCCTCTCGCGGCTGGGTTTGAGTGGCTTCAGCGTCGCTTTCATGACGGGAGAGCTGGTGTTTGTTGGACTCCCCTGTGGAGTAACCATGGTCACTCTGCAGGTGTGGATGGACAGGAGCCGTGTCCGGGTGCCAGAGGCTGGAGGTCACAGCGGGGAGCTCCTTCTCGCCCTTCGCTGTCCCCGGAACCCCTCTGCCCTCCACGCTCCCAATCCCAGCCGTGCCCAGCTCCCCATCCCCTCTCTGCCCACTCGTGCCCAGCTCCCCATCCCTTCTCTCTCTGCTCTGCCCAGCCGTGCCCAGCTCCCCATCCCCGCTCTCCCTGCTCTGCCCAGCCGTGCCCAGCTCCCCATCCCTTCTCTCTCTGCTCTGCCCAGCCGTGCCCAGCTCCCCATCCCCGCTCTCCCTGCTCTGCCCAGCCGTGCCCAGCTCCCCATCCCTTCTCGCCCTGCTCTGCCCAGCCGTGCCCAGCTCCCCATCCCTTCTCTCCCTGCTCTGCCCAGCCGTGCCCAGCTCCCCATCCCTTCTCTCCCTGCTCTGCCCAGCCGTGCCCAGCTCCCCATCCCTTCTCTCCCTGCTCTGCCCAGCCGTGCCCAGCTCCCCATCCCTTCTCTCCCTGCTCTGCCCAGCCGTGCCCAGCTCCCCATCCCCTCTCTGTCTGCTCTGCCCAGCCGTGCCCAGCTCCCCATCCCCGCTCTGTCTGCTCTGCCCAGCCGTGCCCAGCTCCCCATCCCCTCTCTCTCTGCTCTGCCCAGCCGTGCCCAGCTCCCCAGCCCGCTCCGCGTCGCAGCCGAACGCGGTTTTCTGCCGCCACCTGGTGATGGAGAAGCTGCGAGTTCGTGACGGACACAGGCCCTGCCTGCCGGCTGGGTCGGGAATCGCCGCTTTATTCGTCCGTGTAACCCACCCGTGTGTATCGGAGCTGCGGCCCCCGCCCGGGGCGGAGCGGGGAAGAAGCGGGGCTGGAAGGGAACAGCTCTCCCCTGGGACCCGGGGGTGATGTGTGAACGCCAGTTCCACAGGAGGACACTGTGCCCATGCCGGTGCCAGGGGAGGATGCTGAGCTCGCTGAGTGCCTGCTGGGGGAGGCAGCGGCAGCAGCAGCAGCAGCAGCAGCAGCAGCAGCAGCAGCAGCAGCAGCAGCAGCAGCAGCAGCAGCAGCAGCAGCAGCATTCTCTCTCAGCAGCCCTCATGTCCCACACGTGCACAGGGTGGGAAGGCTGATGCTGATGCGAGGTTTTGGATCTTGGATCAGACACCAAAGCCCCTTGGCCTCCTGCGCCCCGCTTTGGGCAACCCTCGGGCTAGGTCAGGCACTTATCATCCCCTCCCTGGTGGTGTCCCTGATGCTCTTCAGGAAGCTGAAGATGTGGGACCCGCCGGTTCCTTTAGCCTCCAGGGCAGACGGGGGCTTTCCCACCGCGGGGCCGGCGCTGGCACTCGGCTGTGCCCGCCTGGCCCTGGCTTTGGCCGCCGCGGTGGCGATGTACTTGGTGACGATGCTGATGTGGTAGGACCTGAAGTCTGTCAGCGCAGACACGCAGCGATTGAAGGCGGCTCGGAGCCGCGCATCCCCCGAGGACAGCACATGCTGCTTCAGGGACACGGCACCCCGGACCTCCTCCACAAAGGCTCTGTGGGGCGGGGGCATGTAGTCCCTCATCCTGTGCAGGAAGGCAGCTGCGAGACAGCAGCAAAGGAAGGAATGAGTTGTGGGTAAGCAGATTAAAGGCCCTGACCCTCTAGGAGAGAAGCTGGCCTGGAGCTGTGGTGCTGGCACAGTTTGCAGGGACCCCTGACAGCCTGCACAGCCTCCTCTGCTCTCCCTCCAAACTAAGTGAGAAAGAAAACCCATATTAGGTCAGTGCTCTGTTGAGGCTGGTGCTAACCCTAAAAGGCAGAGTTTAGCCCTGCTCCCAGCCTGTTGGTTTGGGTTTTTTTTTTGCTAGTAAAGTGTTTTTGCTAATTTCTGGTAAATATTTCTGTTGTGGGCTGGACTAACGTGGAGCTTTATGAATGGCCTCTTACTGGCAGGATGCCTACATGCTCTGCTCCCTCATCTCTGGGCCCATAGAGAACCTCAGCAAAAAGCTGACATGCAAGAAGCCAAATGGGTGCTTTTGTGAATTTATGGTGGTGAGGAAGCACCTGCCGAAGCCCCATTTATAACCTTCCTCCCTGGTCCCATTTATAACCTTCCTCCCTGGTCCCATTTATAACCTTCCTCCCTGGTCCCAGCCAGGGTCTGCAAGGGGCACATGTCCTGCCTGACAGAGCTGGCACAGTCATGGGAAGCGCTCTGGCTCATCTCTTCCCCTGCCCCTCACTTGCTCTGGAAAAGGAGAAGCTCGTGGCTCACCACTGTCCTGGCGGTGGCAGATCCCCAGGAGCTCATCGAAGGCGTGCAGGACCGAGCTCTGCGCCGCGCTGCCCCCCGAGTACGCCATGGGCTCCGGGGACACCCCCTCGTAGATGAGCCCGTGCGGCATGGCAGGGTTGTCCTTCCAGCTGAGCAGGAGACACGGCAGTCAGGCAGGCAGCAGCCATGGGGCTGGGGACAGGGGCCTGTGAGAAGGGACCTTGGGCTGGCAAGACTGAGCAGAACTTTCCTGGCCCAGCCCATGGAGCCCATCCTCCAACTCAGCCATGTCAGCCCTCCTCAAACAGGAGATAAACTTGGAAATCAAACACTGTGCCAAAGCACACAATGAAGCCATGGGTGTAAGGAGACATCCTTAATTTTCCTTTGCCAGAAGAGCGTTCTCTGGGGTCGCCATGCCCTGCTGAGCGCCCTGTGGCAGGGTGCTGAGTCACATTGCCCTGCCTGGCTTGCTCCACTTTGGGAAGGCTTTTGCAAGCAGAGCTGCCTTAGGTGTGTGAGAGAGGAGGGGGCACTTGTCTGGGCAATAGTGGCACTTTACATCAATTCCCTGGATGGCAGCAGCCATTCAGAGAAGCAGGTAGTCACCCAAACACTCCTCTGAGCCCCCAGAGTTTGGATTTTCCTTTGTTCTTAATACTCAGGGTGATGTCTTTTGAAAGGCATTTAAAAGATATAAAGAGGTCAGGCCAGCCCGCCTCTATTTATCTCTGTAGATAACAAGGCAAGGATGGGATTTTGTCTCTCTGAAGCTGCTGGTCCTGGGCAGGTTGAGAGCCAGCACTGCTGGTGCCTCCCACACACACCCTGAACTCAGATCCTGTCAGCCCCCCTTGTGCCGAAATGGAGAAGTTACACCCAAATGGAGATCTGTTATGATTTCAGGGAGGTAAAGTGCCTGGCACAAATATGTATCTGTTGACCTTAGCAGAATGCACCATTCCATGAGGCTTTAGGTACTGGCTGCAGTGTCTGTTGGGCTACAGGAATAGATTTTACACAAACTGCAGAGAAAATAGATTCATTATCAAATACCAGAGTATTTTTAGTTCTCCCAGGATTGTATTTATAGTAACCTCTACTAGTGGGAAGTTCTTATAAGCAGAAGGGAATTTAAAAGGCATGTTTTCCTAAGCTGATGACCATCGAGACAAGGTCAGCTTGCATAAAGAATGAGAGAAGCTTAAACATGGTGCATGGAGCTTTTTACTTGGGAATGCTGAGATGTGATGGAGAGAAATAAAAATAGAACCCCCCTGAGAAGCCCCAGACGTAGAGTCTGCAGATGCTGCAGCCCCACAGGGATGCTGAGGGATGGTGAATGTGCTGTGCTGGGCTCTTGGGGCCGTGGTTCTGCCTTGCCCAAACAGTGTTTTCAGTATTTGAGGGGATTTTCTTTTTTTCAACTGACAGAATTGTAACACAGCAGCAGCAGGAGGATTGTTATGGATGTTTCCCACACAGTGAGAGGAGCCTCTGCTCAGCTTTGGAGCTTTGCGTACACAGTGTGGAAGTAAACAGAAATTCCTCCTCTCCTGTCAAAACTGTTGGGCCAAGAGCAGGAAGGATTAATTTGTGCCCAATTCTGGCTGTCAGGGCTGTCAGGGCTGAGCTGCAGCATGGGATGCAGAGAAGCTGAAGGGAGGCAGACCCCAGACCTTGGGCACAGTCCCTCCCCAACTGATCCAGTGCCTAGGAATTCCTGAGGGACAGGATCATGATGCTCAGGGGAACATACTGCCAGACACAAGCTGGACCCTGCCCTGCCCTGGGGAACTCCATATCCCATCTGTGCTGCCCCTTCCCTGCACATCCCCAGCTCCCCCCAGCCCTGGGAGCTGCCAGCACAGTGGCTCTGAAGGGAAACAGGCTGCACTTACCCAGAGAGGAAGATCCGGATCTCAGAGTAGAACACTTCTGGATCCACATGGTCTAGGAGGAAATCAGTCAGATCAGAGGTGATGGGCAGTTGCACCAATGCATGTGATGAGCTGCAGCAGGCACAGGCACCAGCTGCTCTCACCATGCATCTGCCTCAGCGCCTCTCTCATGGCCTTGATGGCCCCTGCCAGCTCCTCCAGGGCTCTGTGCAGGGTCTCCTCATCGCACTGCAGGATGGCACCAAGGGCCCGGCTGATTGCCTGCGAGGGGAGGAGGGACAGCACCAGGTGACAAAGGGGTGGGATGGGTAGGATGTCTTTGTGCAGTGGTTGTGGACATTTGGTGCCACCCATGCCAGCTCTGCCCCTTCCCCAGCCCAGGATCAGGGGACAGGAACACCTTGTGGGTGCACCCCAGGCACTTTACAGTGCAGGTAAGCAGAGAGCCCCAGCACACAGCAGTACCCACCTTAATGCCAGGCACAGCTGCCTTCTCAACAAGCAGGGTGACAAGGATGAAGCCCTGCAGGCTCTCTCCACCAGGCAGGGTGATGATCGTGTCCAGGTTCCTGCACAAAGGGGCCGAGGAGAGGGATTGGGGGGTGGCAGCTCAGGATTTCCCTACACACTGTGGAAAACCATCCCAGACTCCAGAGCCTCTTCTCTGCACCCTGTGCAGAGAGGAGCTGGCAAAGAGTGAAAGGGGAGCAGGACTGCTCTGGTTTAGGGGGCCCTGCCATCCTCCCCGTGGCCTCCCCATGGCCTGTGGCCACTGGCTGTGTGCAGCCAGAGCAGCCAGTGGCTCTGCCCAGTCCCTTTGCTATCGTGGCAGTGGCACCTGTGTGACAAACACTGCTTATGTGTGCACACATCAAGAGAGGTTGATCCCAAGCAGTGCTGGAGAGCTGAGCCAATCCAAACAAAACCAACACCATTAGAAAATAAATGAGCATTAACTACTTACTCAATTTCCAGAGGCCTGAAGACATTTCAGTTATGGCCAACAAATGCACAAGGAAATGAGAGAGGGAAAGAGAGAGAGATTATAAATTGTTCTATTGATGGTCTGTGCTCTGCAGGGAACAGAGGAGCTGCCCCAGGGGCTGCTCCCAGAGACACCCATGTCCCCACGGAGTTCCTGTGTCCACACCCATGAGGCCGACCCCAGGAAAGGTGGGATTCAAGGGTTTTTTGGCAGAACAGGAGCAGTTTGGGGACAGTCTGTCCCCAACACCAGCATCACTGCTGCCCAGCCACAGGAAGAACCGTGCTTTGTCCGCTGGCATTTGCCCATTTACCCGTTGGGGTCCTTCCTCCTCCAGTTGGCCAACACAAAGTCTGCGTGGCTGAGGATGGGCGGGAGCCCCAGGGCCTGTGACACCTCCCAGTAGGGGACGGCGAGATTTCGGGGCAGGACCTGAGTGGCACAAAGCACAGGGGGTGTTGTCAGGCTGCAGGAAGGTGCCAGGCAGGAGTGGGCACTCTCCTGCTGCAGCCACAGGAAAGGGGCTTTGCTCCCATGGGATAAGTTCTAAGGGAGCAGCATCAGCTCCCAGACCCCAAGGAGCAGGTGAACCTGCTTTACCTTGCCTTTACCTGCACGGTGCCCTCCTCTCCCTCCTGCCAGACGTAGCCCATGGTGATGAAGCTGAGCACCAGGTGTGCCAAGTGCAGCTCCTCACGTCCTCGGAGGTGCTGGGAGCTCAGCTGCGGCATCTGCCAGGGAAACCCTTGGGAGCAAGGAGCAGAGCCAGCCAGTGCCAAGGCCCCTGTCATGGATGGGCTGCCCTGCCAGCCGGGGGGAACCCTCCTAGTGCTTCTCCCCTGCCTTTAAGCCTCCTTCCCACCCGCTCTGCAGGATTTGCTCCCTCTGCACTGTTCCTGGTTTGTGAGGAGGGACGGTAATCCATGGGATTTTCCTCCAAAAGGAGCCCCTCCTCCTGGTTCTGGGATGCCCATGGGAGCAGCTGATCCCCGTGTCCCGAAAGGGTCAAGCCTGACTGGAAGCTGATGGAGCACCTGTGCTCCTTTGGCAGGGAGTGTGGCTGGGATGTGACATGGTTCTTGTGACACCTAGAGGGGTCCTGCTCCAGCCCTTGCTGGCTGCTGAGCACTTGGATCTGCTGAGGGAGTTATTTCTGTGCCAATGTTAAAGACTTTGCTGTCGCCTGGTGTCAGTCCTGGCTCAGCACACATTTGTGCTGCTGGGTTGTTTTTGCACATTTTACAGACACTGCAGTGTCAGACCAAGGTTTGAGAGAGCTCCGGAGGCAGGAAGGAGAACACCGTACCTGGCGAACGCGTGAGCGGAGCTGACGGCTCGCGATCAGCTGGGGCAGCTCACGGGCGATGTCCATCCAGGGGCCGTAGGGTGCTGGCAGCTCTGTCTTGGTGGGGAGAGGCAGAGAGAGGGCTGTGAATGTTCCCAGGCTCCCAGCACCCACCCAGCCTCACACACCGCTGCTGAGGGCTTGTGTTTGCTTCCCCCCTCCTGTAAGATGAGCCTGTGTGGTCACAAATTAACGGACGGTGAACACGATCTGTCTGTCCCCACCCAGTCCCACTGTGGATCCAGGCCTGTAAAAAACAGCCCCACTTTGGACACAGGAGACTTGCCCTTCTTGCACTCCCCAAATCCTCTAGAGCCAAGGCCAGTGTGTAAATGGCAGAGCTCCTTCACCTCTCCTCTGTGCTGCTTGCTGCAGCCACTTCCATCATTTTAAAGGGTAGGGGTTTGTCCTATGAAACTGCCAAAACAGCACCTGCCTTCCTCATTGTTCTTTGTCAAGTGTTATAGCAAAATGCTAAATCAAAGCTCCCCCAGAAAGCTGCTCACCAACCCCTCTATTTTCCTGTGGCATGCGGACGGGGAGGCACAGCCAGCTCCTACCAGAGGGTCGGGAAGCAGGAAGCCAAACTCCTCGGAGACCTGAAACCTGCTCAGTGCCAGAGGCAGCGGGGGCTCCTCGGTGTCACCGCTGGCCTGCATTGCTGGACACTGGCTGTGCTCTGGCCTGGCCACCCCACTGGCAGCATGTGCTGAGCCAGCAGCAGTACCTTGTCCTGGGGGTCGGGCCTGGCTGCCCAATGGCCGGAGGGTCTGAGCAAACACGGCTAAAGGTTGTTGATAAGGCTTTGTTGTGGAGCAAACTTAAACTCTGTCCCCCGTGGGCATCCACCCATGGGAAAGCCTTGGGGGGACCCCAGGGGCTCTGAGCTGACTCCTCCCAGGGCCGCCCTGAGGGGCTGCCACGCTCCCCTGGGATGGTCCCTGCATGGGGATCTCCACCACCCTGGCAATGCCAAACCTGTGTGCAGAGGGCTGCTGACCTGACTGTCAGGCAGGAGCCAGCCTTCCAGCTCGGGGGTGCTCGATGCTGGCAAGCTCACGCTGGTACCTGGCCAGAGATGCACAAAACACAGTGGATGCTGCTGCTTTCCCCATGGTGCTGGGGTCACTGGGGCTGCTGCTGGGGTCCCAGCACCAGAGCAGGGGTCGGCAGGGTGCTCTGAGAAGGGCCTTCCCAAACAGCAGCTTCGTGGGGGAAAGGCAGCCCTGAGAGTGCTGGGGCTGGAGGCACTGTGAGTGCATGGGAGGGGAAGGGCCAGGGGTACAAACAGCAGGACTGACATCTCTGTGGGGTGCAGGTCCACAGGCACTGCAGGAAATGTGCACTTCACGTGCAAAACAGAGGTGACACCGGCACCACGACCACCACACGGGGCAGCGGCCTTCCCTGGTGCCCAGCTCTGAGCAGAGGGGCCAGGAGCCACACACATCCACTGGTCCGCTTCAGAGGCAGCCACAGCACCCGAGCTGTCCCTGCCGAACAGTCCCCGGCATCAGGCAGCTTCACAGCCCTCAGAGATGGGCAAATCCCGCGTGCCCGCAGAGAAAAGGGGACAATCTCAGCAGCTGTGGCCCCTAGGCCCCAAGAGCAGGATTAACTCTGACAAAAAACACAAACTACATAAGCATAAAACCACAGGGCCATGACACCAGCTTTGCCCAACACCTTTAATTAGCGCCCGTGGTGCTGCCCCAGCGCTGGCTCTGCTGCTGGGTCCGTGCCTGTCTTCATCTCTAGGTCTGGCTCTCGCTCTAGGTCTGTCTGCAGCTCCAGGGCCAGCTCTGGGCCTGGCTCCAGGTTTATCTCCAGCTCCGGCTCCAGCTCCCTGTTCATGTCCCGGATGGTGCTGTGGGGGGACCTGCAGTGGTGCCTTGGCCCTGACTTGACTCAGTGCCTCAGCCTGAGGTCACCGTGTCCCCATGGGCATCACCTTGCCCCCTTCCCTCCCCTCTGCAGGGATCCCCTCAGCCCTCTCCCACCCCCTGCATCCCCCAGGGACCCCGGGGTCCGCACTCACCGCTCCACGGCCGGCGGCTGCTCCCCGCGGCACGGGCCCGGCGCCCGCTGCCGCCACAGGCCGAGCCCCAGGCCCGCGGTGAGCACGAGCAGGACGAGGCTGGAGCCCAGCACCAGCCAGGCCATCTCCCCATCCTCCAGTGCTCGCTGCAGGCCTGGCAGGACACAGCCCAGCTGGGCACGGGGTGCTGCCAGCCCTGCCCGTGCCGTGCCCGGGGCTGCCCACACTCACCTCTGTCCGTCAGCTGCAGGCCGCTGTCCTTGCTGCCCCCCCGGCGTGAGCCCCTCCTCTGGCAGTCGGGGGGCTGCCAGCCCGGGTAGCAGTGGCAATTGCCCTTGTTGTTGCACACCTGCAAGCCCAGGGGAGGGTAGGGGTGTGCAGCGAGCCCTGCACCCCGTGCTGCCCGTCCCCAGCCCCGTGGCACTCACGCCGTGGCCGTGGCAGTTTGCTTTGCTGTCACAGTTGTTTCTCAGCTCCGAGAGTGGGTGACATGTGCTGTTTATACACACCTGGGAAAAACCATGGCAGCTGCAGCCCAGCACTGCCTCACCCAAACAGCACTCAGTGCATCGGGCTATGGCCCAAAGGAAAGCACGCTACTTAAAAACAATAAATAAAAAAGACAAAGAAGCCACAGTTCTGCCCTGGGGCCAGGCCATGTTTAGTGCTCACACCCCACCAAACCTTTAATGCAATGTTTGCAAGTTTTTACAGTGCTTTTAAATATCAAACACACTGCTGCAAGGAAAAAGTGTTTCTATCATCTTGTTAATATTTACAGTTCCTATTTGTCATTTCAGATGATTATGAAATATTTCCTTACCCTTCCAGAGCCACACTTTGTTCCTGGAGGAACCAGAAGAGGATCCAGCCACGCTGGTACGTTCAGGTAGTTCAGAGACACACACAAATGGTGCCGCACTCGGGCGTAAATGACGGCAGCAGCAGTTGATGAGAAGGGCTTGTGGGACGGGTACGTGCAGATTAACTTCCCACACCTGAGATCCCTGGAAAGCCAATTTGCACAGGATGTGTATCAAACACACACAGACACACACAGATCCTGCCTGATGAACACCAGAACATTAAACACCACAAGCTGGTGAGAAAACATCAGCAGGACGGGGAAGGCCAAGGGAGGATCTGTGACATAAGGAGAGACACCGTATCAAGGAGAACACACACAGAGGTATTTATTGCTTCACAAATCTCACCATAAACTGGAGTCCTGACACTTCTCTTGACTGGCCAATCCCAATTAAACATGCATTTTACATCCCCAGCATACCTCCAAGTACAGGGCCGGTACTTGTGTTTGCTCTTGAACCCGCAGTGCCCAAACCTGTCTTGCTGCCCGTTAATCTCCTCGTAACAGATGATGGGAGCATTCCTTGAATCTACAAGTTTAGCAATAAGATTTGTTACAGCTAAAATGAACACAAAGGAATATATTATGGTATCTAATAACTTCATTTTTCACAACTTAATTAGAGAAAACATACCTATCCCTGCCCAAACCCCCAACAGTCCTGAACCTCAGAAATCAGCAGGGGAGTAGAAAATGGGGAAGTTCTCTGACTGAGTTTGCCCACAGAAAATAATTTGCTTTTTGTTCTTTCCATTGTTATCTGTGAAGCACTGGGGGACTCTATCAACTAGAGCCAAAAGAGAACTTGAAATGCTTTCCTAAAGCTGTGCCTTCTCTCCAGGTGCCCTACTCTCACCAAGGCTGGTGCATTGAAGAGTACAGGTACAAACTGAGCACCGTGCTGCTGTCCCTGTCCCTGTCCCTGAGCAGCGGCAGTGCCACCAGCACAGCCTGGTACCTTTCCCGTAGAGCCGCTTGCACTGCAGGTCTGAGGAGCGGCAGCGTCCCTGGTAGCAGTAGCCAGAGCCATGGCCACAGTCGTGCCCATCCTGAATGAACACGTCGGGGGGGCAGGAGGCAGAGGAGCCGCTGCAGAACTCGGGCAGGTCGCACTGGGCATCGGCGGCCGGGCGGCACACCGAGTTCCTCCGCTTGAACTGCAGGGGAGGAGGAGGAGGAGGAGAAGGAGGAGAAGGAGGAGGAGGAGGAGGAGGAGCTCTGCAGCCTCCCTCGCCTGCCTGCCCGCACAGACCCTTCTTTCCATGGCCTCAGGGTCCCCCTTGAGGCGCTGGGGTGACCGCACATGTGACACCGCCGGTGACAACAGTCCCGGTAATGCTCCCCCAGGGCTTCCCACGAGCTGAGCTGGGAAACCCAACCCCAGGAACCTTTCCCATTGCACAGCAAGAAGTTTGGCTCTATCCCTCAGCATGGGAACATAATTCCAAATATGGAACATATTTGTCCAAAATAAATTACGATTTTGTGATAATTATAAAAATGTGTTTTACCTGACAACCCCTACAACATAATCCGGAGGCACATTTTGCTCTTGGCTTCAGTCTACACGTTTGAGTGCAGCACCTGTTCTTCAGGCATTCCTGGGGACACATGGCAAACTCATGTTATTTTATTTTGTTGTACCGCCGAGCCTCTCCTCCTCCTCTCCCGTATTACTTGGGCAATGTCCACAGAACAAATGGGCAAGGCTGCCGCCAGATGGCTGCCACACAGAAACCATCCCAAACCATCCCAAACCCATCCCTCCCTGGGCTGCTCCCCGCTGCACTGCGGCTCCCGGGGCTTCTGCACCTCCTCCCCAGCCGCCCGCAGCCCCCGTGCGGGGTTCGGTCCCGGTTCGGGGTTCGGTCCCGGTTCGGGGTTCGGTCCCGGGGCCGGGTTTGGCCCCACCTGCAGGGTCCCGGTGCCGGGTTCGGTCCCGGTTCGGGGTTCGGTCCCGGGGCGGGGTTCGGTCCCGGTTCGGGGTTCGGTCCCGGGGCCGGGTTCGGTCCCGGTTCCGGGTTCGGCCCCACCTGTGCCGTGCCGCAGTCGCACTGCTCGCCCGGATCCACCACGCCGTTGCCGCACAGGGCTCCGCTCCGGCGGGACAGGCGGGGGCTGCCGAAAAGGCAGGCGCCTCTGCCCCGCTTCAGGAAGCTCTCAAAGTCCCTGGTGCTGCAGTTGCTGAAGGCTTTTGCCCCACTGAAATGTCTAAAATACAGCGGTTATCAGCTTATGTGTTACACACTCACCCTCCTCCCTCCCGCCCTCCCTCTCTCCAAAGCTCTGTGCAAGTCAAGGGCTCACCCAGACACTGGCACAGGGTAGGATGGTCCCAGGGGTCTATCAATTCACCTGATCTACAGCTCATTATTAACAGAGATTGAAAATCATTCTGAAGGACCTTAATTTTAGAGAGCAAAAATCTCTTTTGTCAAATTGGGCCCTAATTTGCTATTTAATTAATTATTTTTTACTTTTTAGAGGCATAAAAGCAGGTATTTCTCCACTGAAACGGTGGTCAGGCACTGGAATTGCTGCCCAGGGAGGTGGTGGAGCCCCATCCCTGGAGGTGTTCAAGAAAGGGCTGACACAGCACTCAGCGCTCCGCTCCAGTTGCCAAGGTGGCGATGGGTCAAAGGCTGGACTCGGTGGTCTTGGAGGCCTTTCCCGACCCGAGTGATCCCATGAGCCTGTGATTCTAATTTGTTGTACTTTTTGCAATGGAATGACAGTTGCAGAGGCCTCCTCTGACAAGGGACACCTTGCAACCACCCCTGTCCCCCCCTGCCATGCCCCAGCCCCTGCAGCCCCACAAACTCACAGCGCCTCAGGGCTCATGGTGCAGACGCGCCCGGGGCAGCTGCAGCCTCGGGAGGTGTCCGGGTCCATGCCCAGGCTGCGGCCCAGCCCCTGCGCCAGCAGGATGGAGAAGGACTCCAGCGTCACGTTCCCGTGGTACTGCAGGGAGGAGAGAGATGAGCTGCCAGAGCTGAGAGTTCCTTGCAGAGATCCCTGCTCCAGATCCTCCCGCCTGCTCCCATCCAGCCCTGTTCCTGCTGCCCACAGCTGGGCTCACAGCCATGTGGGCTGCTGAGGGACGGGCAGGGGACAAGTGGGACCATACCAGGGCCACTGTGGCAGCAGCATCTCTCTCACATGCCCCTCCTGGAGCCGCTGCAGCCATGAATGCTCCTTGGTCCCTGTACCTGGAACAGAGGTGTGGTCACTGCTGGTGCCACAGACGCTCTCTCGGCTGGGTCTGTATAGCCCAAGTCCCCTTGGTGCCCCCGACTGCTCTGCTGTCCCCAGGGGAGCTGGGGCAGGGTCTGCGTGGTGGGAGGCTGGTGCCTGGTGCTGGGCAGGGACTGGGGGCTGCCACCTTTCCCATCTCCTCAGCCTGGGTGGGTGGCAAGGAAGGGATGGCACCATTGCAGCTGCTGCATCACTAGGAGGAACGTCTTTAAATACTTTAAGAATATTAAGGATTTAAGTAATTAAATATAATTAGGTAATTTGTATTAAGGAAATACAGATTTTTTTAAAAAGCATGTATCAAAGGAATCCTTTATATTTCAACTTACATTGGTTTGACTAATTGCTACAACATAATCTTTAACACTAATGAACCTTTATCTTACCCTAAGAGAGAAGCAATGTTGTGTGCCTGTGGCTCCAGGGCCAGCTGTTTCCACTGTAAAAATCTCTGTAGAAGATCATCTGTATCCCCTGCTGTCGATATTTTATCCCCCTCTGCCCACAGCTCCAGGGAGGACAGCACAAAGGTGACATTAAGGGGATTAAACATCTGGAAGTAGAAGAGAGGAAACCTCTGCTCTCACACCTTCCCCTCATGCAGAGTCACTACTCTGCACACAGTAAACACAAGGGAAAAGTAAATTGCTGCTGTCAGTGCCTCAAAGACATCTGCAGCCATACAGAATGAACACACCTAAAGAATAAAGGGATACAGCAAGAGGCCTGAGCCAAAGTCCAGTAACTTCATAAGAAGTGTTCCAGATTTTGGGAATAACTTCTCATTACACAAGTGAACCATGAGATCACCAGTGGAGTAAAGAACAGGACTGGAAGTTGGTTACAAGCACCTGAGAGTAAGCAGGTTAATTGGACCAGTGAGATCAGGGAGGGAAGCAACCCAGGAGTCCTCAAAATGCAGGGGGGTCTGGCTGCCCTAAGGCAAATTGCCTGTTTATCTGTACATCTGCACAAGACGTGGCCATCACACAGGGAAAGATGTTCTTTTGTGGCAGACTGACACGTCTGAGGAAAAGCCTTCTCAGGAAACGTGGAATTTTTTACATAACATCCTCCTAAAACCTAAAAGCACCTAGAAGAGAGGTGCCCACTGCTAACATCAACATCCCCCTCGTCCCCCATCCACTGTAGTACAAACCAGACTTAAAAACTCACATTGTTGATTAAATTGAAGGCCTGGATTACTTTCTGTGTCGCAGCATTTGGGTCTGATCCCATATAGTTGTACTGAAAAACAACCCAAGAAGACACAAGGGTGGACAAGCTGCTTACCAGGGTGAAGCATGACAACGTTGGAACACTGAAATGATTGAGACATGAGTTACAAATTCATGTTCCTTTTTTCCTAAAAAATCCACGGAATGCTTAACTTTTCAAAACAGAAAACAAATCCATGTAAAAGCTGGGAAATGTTACCATTTCCATGCTCACAGAAGTCAGGCAAAGACAAGGAAAAAGTGGCTAGCATGGACTTACCAAAGCCTTGTCCAAGACCACGTAGACTGTGAGGTATTTGGGAGATTGTGCAGCGGCCGAGAGGGGCTAAAAGAGAAAACGGGCTTCAAAGCAGATTCTGCATTCTCTGGTCACCTCACTGCTGCTGCTGGCTGTGCTTCTCAAGTGTCCCTTCAAAGTTTGTGTCCAAGTGTCTGGCCAAAGCTTCCAGCAGAACCAGACCCCTCACAGGACAGGGACACCAGCAGCTCTGACAAACAGGCACCGCTCACCTCATCCTCCCCGTGGGCCTTGTCCAACATCTCCCCTCCTCTGGGGGGGCTGTGGGCTGGGAGGGTCTCTGCCATCTGCTCCTCACTCACTCGATACAACACGTGCTGGAAGGCAGGGGAGCAGCCCAGGGGCTGGATCTCGTAGCTCACATTCTCAAACTGCAGCAAACCCCTGCCGAGGCAGCACTGGCCGCTTGCTCCGGGCACTGCAGAGCTGCCCCAGCAGCAGCTGCTGCAGGCCAGGCTGCCAGGGCATCCCTGGCCCCCGTGGCAAAGGCCAGGCAAGTGGCCACGGGGAGGGCAGCACAGGGACAGGGCTGGAACTTTACCTGAGCCCCGAGCAGGTGCTGAGGGTCACAGCCGAGCCGGGGAAGCCATCGATGTACCCCCAGTAGTGACAGCCTCCCTAGGACGTGACAGAGCACAGGGAGTCCCTTCCATGGCTGGGATGACAATCCCCTACCCAGCACCCAGACAGCTGGACCAGCTGCCTTGGGCAGAGACACTGAAAGCACAAACAGCCCAAAGCAAGGCCAGGTTACCTCAACGCGGGCAGAGTCAGCCTGCAAAGACCCCTGCTTGCTGGACACGTAAGTCTGGAAACCATCAGATAAAAAGGCACTGCAAGAGAGAGGTGCAAAGTGAGGTGTTGTAAGCACCATTACCATCATCCATCACCCAGAGCTTCTCGAGCTTCTTGCGGGTCCTGCAGCCACGAGGAAGCAGGGCAGCTGCTGTCAGTGAGGGCAATGTCAGGGTCAACTCACTGCTGCTGCAGGTGGATGGTGTATGGCCTCCCCTCAATCCTCAGCATGTAGGACACTGCATCCTTGTGCACACAGAAATCAGAGAGGGGGAGAATTGGGAACAGGGAGTTGGAAATAGCACGATCCACGCGAGGCCCGCTGTGAACAGCAAAGGGGGAGCACCAGGGTTCTGGCAGCTTGCTGTGGTGACATTGTTACAGCTGCTGCCACATCTGCGCTCCCCCAGCCCCCTTCTGCAGCTGAAGACTTCACTTTGCCCTCCCCGCTCCCAGCCCCCCCAGCACCATGCCTGCTTCAGCCTCGCCCCTCCTCTGGTGCTGGCCCCCAGCCGCTGTGGGACTGTGACCTGGGACCAGAGCTGGCCAGGCACAGGGGACAGAGCCCCCCATGGCTGAGCCCAGGCCCGGCGGGCGGGGGGCACACGGGGGCCCTGCCCAGCCTCGTGCAGCAGCTGCAGGAGCAGCAGGAGCAGCAGCGCTGGCATCGCGCACAGGGCGCCCGGGCAGGCCAGTAACGGCCCCACGGCCACCAGTAACTGCCCCACAGGCAACTGCCCCAGCAGCAACAGCCCCTCCCTCCCGAAAGCAGAGGCCGAGGCAGACTTGTACAAAACTGGCGTCTTTATTGCTCCTTGGGTCTGTACAAAGGGATCAGGAACAGCCCTTTGGCCAGAAAGCAGCGCGGGGCCAGCCTGGAGGCGAACACAGCCCCGCCCAGGGACAGGTATCCGTTCACTTGACGAAAGAAAGTCAGTAGTCATCTTCAGCATTCAACACCAAAAACTGCAGCTATTTCCTGTCCATGGGATCGCTTCTGAAAGCACACAGCCCTGCCCTCCGCAACTGCGGCTGTTCCGACGCGCGGGCTCGGAGTACAAAAACTCTTTGTCTAGTAAAGGCACCGTTTTTAGCATAGTTTAGTTCACACACACAGTTAAGTACATCTCTCTGGATGACTTCATTCCTTGGATCCCCTCCTCTTTCCCCACCCTCTGAGCAGGGCTGGAGATGGGCTGCATCCAGCTGCAGAGCTCATTGTGACAGACAGACAGACGGACAGCCCACTCAGGCAGAGCGGGACACAGCAACACAATTAAGAAGTAATCTTGGAACAAAAAGGAGACCCCCCACCAGTACAGTCGGTGAAATTCTAGGTGACATTTTACAGATTTTAATAGTGTTATAAATCTTAGTCTAAAGTTTATGGGAAACCACAGGAGTTCAAGTATTTTATTACTGCACACACTATATATATACTTATGTATGTATATACAGAGGAAAAGATTATTTTTTGGCAATATTAGGGGGATTTTACAGATTGAGCTGTGCTTGTGGTGAGCACAGAGTGAAACAGCCCAGCACACTCTTCAGCACTTATCTCACTTTTAGCAGATTTGTGTAATAGAACCTCACTTTTAGCAAGTTGTGCAATAGATTTCTATTTCTGACCGCAACATCCAGCTTCTACCCACAGCACCATGGGATCAGGATCTCCAGCTCCCTCTCTTAGCACGGTGGATGCTGAGCACCTCTGCTCAGGAGGAGTTTAGCCCATGGTGCAGGAGCAGAGGGCAGTCTAGTCCGACACAGCAGCCCAGACACATCCCGACTGACACTACCAGGGTTTGGGTATTAAAAGAGGGAGTGCATCAGCCACCAGGTTCCCATTTAAAGTGCTCAGAGAACCTCTGGTGGTCCAGGCAGAGACACTTCCTGCTTCCCAGTGTTCTGCAGGGACTACTGCTGTCTTTAGACCCAAATTAAAACCTAACAGAACCCCATTTTTTAAAACCAGAATACGGCCGTCTTCTCGTACCTTTATCGTCACTGCCATGTATTAGTGGGAATTAGTACAGGAGTCTCATTTTGCCACTCTCTAATTAAAAAGCATTAAACTCAGTGCTCCTACAGCACAGCTTAGTGTCAGTCAGCATGGAGTTAAGAATTTAAGTGCATTATTATGCATCTATAAACATATATACATGCATAAACATGTTTAAAATAGACCTCTCTTCCTCAAATAGTCCTCTGAGACCTCATTCCATTTATGCATTTAAGATGTATGTGGGAAACACTCCCCAGTCCATGCAGAGTAACTAAATTAACTGACCAGATCTCCTTGCTTTGCAAACAGGTTACTCCAATTCCTTACTGCACAGTCAGAGAGACAACAACAAGTCAGACAATTTCCTTACCAGGGCTCGTGGCAGAAATGGGGAACCCAAACCCAGGTGCTGGATTGCAGGACTATTTCCCTGCAGGCTGCTGCACTCCTGCTGCTGGCCTGGCTGCAGTGGCAAAGCTTGGACAGAGCGAGGGACGGGCTGGCTGGGTGTTTCAGTCCCTGGAGCTTTGGTCGAGGTATTTATTGAGTGTCAAGTTCTACATTCCTGGTTTGGATGGCTGTTTGCCCTGTCCCAGGCTGCAGCAGGGAGGCTGCTGGCACTGCCATGGGATGCCAGAAGGGGAACCGCAATTTCAGCTGTCACAGCCAGCAGGTCAGCTCACACCAAGGCCCCAAGGAAGCCCAAAGCTATTTGGGAGGCAGAGGTGCCGGTCGGGAAGGGAAATACTGTCCCTGAGGTAAACATTTCTGCTGTGGTGCCGGCGGTCCCTGAGGTACGAGCTTCTGCTGCGGGGGCGGGGGCCTGCGAGGGGACAGAGGAGGTGCGGTCAGTCCTGCGGTGCCCAGCGCCCTCTGACCACTGCCAGCTCCCCTGCCAGCACCCCACTGCTCCCACACCAAACTCATCCTCAATGTGCCGTGCTCACACCGTGCCTTCAACGGCCTGAAATCCTCTGGGAACCCCCACTTGTCAAAACTCACCTTTTCTCCCAAAATTCTGCAAAGCCCCATGGCACAAGAGCCCCCCCAACATGAGCTACATTAGGATGCTCCCACTCAGTAACTGGCACTTCCTGGGGCTGTGTGTCACAGCACAGCATTGCATCTTACAAGCACAACCAAAAAGCAAGATAAAAATAAAGGGAAACTTTCTGTTCAAAAGTTAAGAGAAATGGTTTTGCACTTGGCCATAACATTCACAAATCAGCACAATGACAGATTTTTGAGCAATTTGCTTTCAAACTGACTATTTTAACCTGCTGGGCTAATCTGCCCCCTCAGCAGTGCCCTGAGCCTCGTTCATCAGCACGCAGCCGCGACAGCGTGGGATGAACGCGCTGCCTTTCAGGGTGAAGGAGAAACTTCTCCCAGTGAAAAGTCAGCCCTGCTTGCACACAATGTGTGATGGAACACCCCAGGGCTCCCGAGAGTGAAGGCCAGGACAAGAAATCCCACATCAGTGCCGCTGCCAATGGGCATTTGCAGTAACTGCACTGACCTGCTGGGCACCCTCTGCGGCTGCTGCACCGGGTACTGCGGCGGGGAGTAGTAGGGCTGGTGGAAAGCCTGCTGAGAGTGCTGGTTAACTGGGTAAGCTGGGACAGGAAAGGTATTTGGATGCATATCCTACGAAGAAAATACAAAGAAAATGTTCACAAATTGCACATAGGGAATCAAAATATTTGTGTCACTAAATAAGTGACGTTCAAGACCACTTGCAAACCAGCCTGGCAATGTCAGAGCCGCTCTCTCCTCTGAGAAACTGAGTAAGAAGAAGCAACAGCAGTCTGGGAACTGCTGGATTTTGAAAAACACAGAAAGGCTGATCACAACAGCACTTGGTTTGCTCTGGGAGTGTGCTCTGGCTGGTTTTGGCTTTCAGAGGACAACTGCTCTGACAAGGAGAGGGGCTCTGATGTGGGGTGGGCGTTCTGTCATGAGGAAAAGGGAGCAGCAGAACAGGCAAACTAGGCACAGCCTGGGACAACACTTAAACTGAGAGACTGAGGAGCCCCCCACACAACCCTTAGGAAACAAATGTTCTCTCTGCTTTTTATCAGGGAGAAACATAATTTTCAGAAATGAAGTAACTTTAAAGCTTTTATTAGGGCAAGAATTATGGTAGCTTCCTTCACGTCTTTACTTGAGAGTAACAAATAGAGTAGGGGCAAGGAGATGATTCGTACCATGGGTACAGCTCTTGGAGCATATGGCATGCCACGGGAGAAGCCTCTCTGCTGGCAGGCCCTGGGTTCAGTGTCTGGCCGAGGAGGAGGTGACTGAAGTGACCTGAAATCCGATGGATATGGACTGTGTGAGCACATAAACCAGACACAATGCAGGCCATGAACCCAGACACTGTGAACCTGACAGCTGGATTGACACTACCTTAGCATGTATCAAGTGTGAGACAGATAAAATGTACTACAAATTTAATAAAAAACAACACTTTTTCTGTTCAAGACTCTGGCAGCTTCCCTTTGCCCCTTTATAAAAAGATGGGACCCAAAACCATAAACCCCTATCACCAATGCACAAGAACAAACATAACAATAAAGAGAAAACTCTCTGCTGTCTTGATTTGGGATGAATTTATCTTTTCTGTCATTGCCAGAGGCAAGCTACACGTGCCATTGGATGCAGAGGCCTCCACCTGACATCCTGGGACTGGGAAATGCCTCCACACTTTGGCACTGGCTGGTGTAAATAAACATCCATGAAGGGCAGGGGAGAAGGCAGAAAGGAGGAGGCACTCACGAGTGGCAGCGGGACATCAGCCTCCTGAAGCATTGCTTCAGCCTGTTCCTCTTTGCAAAGGCCAGAGCAGCAGCCACGAGCAGTGGGAGCACCAGGAAGAAGAACACCAGGAGCCCATTGCGCAGCGACGTGTCCTTGTCTGGGGGGACAAAACCACGGAGGAGAAACAAGCCTTAGGTGGTGTTACCACCACCAGATTCATAACAGCAGGGGAACTGCATTTTGTAGTTTCCTACCTAATTTGGTAGGAATGGTTCTATAACTGCTCTCCATTTTTTATAGAAAAAACCCAGAAGAGTCCAGTAAGATATATGCCCAAATAGATCCTTTCTGTTTATCTTTTAGAGCTGATACCCTGGGCTGTAATAGCACATTAGGAGATCAATCCTCGTTTTTCATGACGTATGAGCATTACTTCATTACTAAAGATCTCACAAGAGAGGGAAACAGCTGCTGCCTTTTGGTCTGATGTTAAATCTACCTCTTCTCCAGACACTGTTTGCTGTAGACGAAGAACTTGGGTTCTTAATCTTGACCCTTTTATATGCAGCAATTTCTCCCCTGCAGGCTGTATTAAAACAGTCTTTCCCTTTCTCTGTCTGATGATTTGAGGGATCTGCCTGAGCTCCAGTGTGCTTCTCCAGCCTGTTACTGCACCACAGTGCCTAGCTTTCCCAAACCCACACGAGCTTATGAAAAACAGTCTTCAAGCTCATTCCTGCAGCCCGCAGAAGTTACACCAATCCCATCTTTATACACTTCACATGGACACAGCCTAAGTTTTCTCCAAATTAGAGCTTGGCTCTGGCTTCCTAGTTCACCTTCAAACACTCAGAGAGCTTCCCAGCTCTGTCAGTTTGCCTTTTCTTGTGCAGGATTCAT